TTTCTAACATTATCTGTCAATAATCAGCAACAAATTTGCAAATCCCAGTGGTTTTACTGTGAAAGCCTCAGGGCTTTGCAAGCCAAATTTTTATTGTCAACATGGACAAGGCATCATGAGTCTAAAGACTCATAAGCCATGAGTTTTCTCAGTGCTGATGGAGTAGGAAAGTGACTTGGACAGGAACAAGCAGGACAGCAGTAGGATCAAGGATCATACTGTTCACAAAGCCAGGCAAACCCCACCACTAGACAGTCAGTTTCCTCTTCAAGAAGCATTTCCAGTTCAAGAAGAGGCACTGTGAACTAGCCATATCTACATTTCTGGAGAGTACCAATGACTGGAGGTCTAGAGGGAAGTGCTACATATCTAATAGGGCAGGAAAGTCTAAGATGCTCCTAAGCACACCCATGATTCACTGATTTAGCAACTGGTAATCCATAGGCAACCCACTGGTACCATTGACAACCCAAGGATAGAACAGAAAATTCTTGATTTGCACTAGTTCATGTCCAGAGTAAACTCAAGTGCAACTCAACGCTATCTTTAAGCCTCAGACTGGCAAAGCTGTCCTGATAGACGAGGCAAAGCACAAAACCCCAGCAAAGAGCAAAGCCACTTGCACTACAGCAGACACCTTTCAGAAGCCTGATGGCAGTGCCTCAGTCTCATCCAGCAAGCTCTGCCACTGCTTTATGAGAAGAGCAAGATCAGATCTCAGGTGTGGCACACAGCTGAGGGTGAGAGAAAACCAGACAGCAACTGCAAAGTGACCAATATCTTTTACCAGTTTTCTGCTCAGTATGACACAACTCCAAATGGTATCATTTGAAGGCAGCAAAACAAAACCAAAATATAATGAAAAATATAACTAAGAGACCTTGATTAAATGCTGGTACCTCTAAAATACGCAGAAATAATTCTGTAGACTTCAGCACAGTCAGATTTCAGCTTGGAGCTCTGATTTTCATTTACAAAATGTCCAGTTTCAAAACCACATTTTTATCTAGTCTGAAGTTCTTTCTAATCTCTAGGCAAAGGGTTCCTCCTGCAAATGAGTTCAGGTGTATAGTAGCACTCCCCTAAAGATGTAAAGCCTAATTGCCTCAGCATTATAATAGCATTGGTATGTAGTGAATGCAGACAGTTTCAGGGAGAATACATGTGGCAAGTTAATAAAATTTTAGATGAAGGCCACAGTGCAGGACTAATATTTCGCCTAGCCAGAGGATGAAAAGTTATGCATTGCTATTTAAAAAATATAATTGGAATGTTAAATCTATTTCATGAATGAAAGTACATTGACCTTTAGAGGAAAGAATGACTCATTTTCAACCCTGTATGCCCCTTCTTAACATATGCTTCCCACCTCTGCATATGTAAGTAGCAATTAATTTTCATGGGAAGTTATTTTATGGCCATTTCAGCTTATTAAATTTCCTGGGTAAACTCACAAGAAACCTATTTAGCAACATTTGTGGGTCAGGTGCCCTGTAGTGAGAGAACTGGTTACCTGTGAGGTTAACATGAAAAAAATCCAAATACCAGTGCAGGGTAAGAGTGGAAGGGCTCTTGGATTTTTTCCCCCAAGAAAGCTCAACAACCTGTCCAGAGTACACTGCTACAGGGACCCACTGTGGTTCAACACTATACAGCAAATCCTGTAAGACCAGAACTAAAGCCAGCCTGAAAATCTCCTGACAGTAATGTTCACACTGGCTGTTCAGAGTCCCATGGCAATGTACTGGTTTTCATTAGATTCTTTTGGGAAAGGTTTCCTTGGAGGCACAGCAGAGTTTCTAGTCAAAACCACAGACAATGACAGCAAAGTCAACAGCAACACGGTAGTTGAGATGTTGACCTTAAATCCAGGAGGTCTGCAGCGCTGCACTCCTGTCCAAGCTTCTTTCTCCCTTCCTCTGCATTTCTCGGTTGTGTGTCTTTCATACAGAAAATATTGAAATTAATTGGATTTTCTTTTGTCCCAGAGAAGCACTTGGAGAAGACTAAGAAGACAGTACTAGATCTGAAAGCATTTCCAAGACAGGAAAACTTTCTTGTACCCAATTTTGAAAGGGCCAAGCTGACACAGAAACGGTAGATGGGCTGAGGTTTGGTCCTATTCCAACTGAATGAAAGTTCCATGCAGTTTCTCTAAATGGAAGCTTCTTGCAGGATGCTCTGTTCCCACAAGGAAGAGTGTGAGAGAAATCTGGCATCAAGAATATTTGCAGAAGAGCCATGTAGAAATTCAACTTCATGGCTTGTCTGCTGAACAACAGCTGCCTGTAAGTACATCCTTTACTAATTGTTCAGTAACAGACTGAGACAAAGTGCTTTATGCTTTGTGCAAGCATGCTATTAAAAAAGGAAAGGGTTCACTCCAGTTAAATTTATCTTTGAGCCAACAAATGAAAGTATAAGTTAAAGAGAATAAAGCATTATTTATAGGACTCTCTTGTCACCTCTAAGGTCAGTGGGACTTCATCCCCTTGCCATTTTTTCTCACCCTAAAATATAATTCATTCTCCATTCACACGGAGGATAATGTGGTGAAAATAATTTAGCAAGGTAATTATACATTTTTCTGGGAAGTACTGCAACCCTGGACATCTCCAGCAGACAAGAGGAAAAACAAAAGCCCAGTATGCCTACATAAGTGAAGCAGTTTTCCATTGTTGATGGGAGGATTGTGTTGTTTGAAATCCATTTCCAATTAGCTTAAGCAATGAAGGAAAGGCTCAGTTGCCTTAGGAAGGGCTTTAGTTAAGCCCCGTGCACATTAGCTGCAATGGTGTCAATAACTGCTGGAATCTGACAGGCTGGTGGATGCTGTTCGTGCTGTTATCACTGTGTCAGCACATCCTGCTGTCGGCAGGGCTGCACAGCACAGATTTAAGGCTGGCAGTGACACATGGTGCTCACATAGGCAGCACCTTAGCAAAGCAGGAGGAATGGATTTCCTAATGTTGTTAAACAAACCCACGTTACAAAAGCAGGGCAAAGCCATAAACAGTGTAACTATGCTGAGGAGTCACTGCTGAAAAAGCAGAGGTGCAATTCAGAAAGAGACCAGGATTTTTAAAGGAGATTATGAACAGCTGCAAGGAGAAGTTACCACTTCGATATAGGTAAAGGAGGTCCATATTCCTTCCCTCTGCTCCTCCTTTTCCTGCCTCCTCTGTGATTGACTTTGCACGACTGTGTTGCAGTAAGAACAGCAGAGTTTTCTCTCCAACATGATTTTACAGGGGCATAGCTTCCTACTGATCTGGAAAAACACGCATTTCTCCTGAACAGTGAGACAACAGACAAAATCAAGCCTGTGAGTTTTAATAGCTTTGGTTAAAGCTCCATCTGCATTGTATTCACATCAGAGAACCTGTCAGTTCTTACGTATGCCCTTCCCTCAGGTTAAAAACACACCTTCATCCTCTAAGAAGACAAATGCATGTCCTCAAGCTCCATCGTTGCTGTAAGTACCCGAGTAAAAATGGCATTTGCAACTAAGGCTTTACTGCCCGAGGAGATCTGTAAATCGAAACAAGTGCTAATCACAACAAATCCCCCGAACAGAAAGAAAATGAGACAGTAGGGTTTGGTGTCTTTAATTTTTAATTATTCTTTCTTTACAGCAATGTAGCAAGGCAAGACCTGCTGGAGGTGGGGGATGTTGGCCTCACCTAGCCACCTTGTGGCGGACAGCACCTCTGTGTTATCCCTGCCAGATCCAACACAGGAAGAGCTAACCTGGGTACCTCACTTTAGCCACAGCTGCAGGACTTACTCACACACAGCCTATACTGACAGTCAGCTTTGGTTTTCATTTCAGGCAGCAAGGAAGGAGATGGGTTCCATTTGTAGTTCTTCAGATGGTTATCCCATCTTTTCAGATGAGCATCAAAAATCAGTTGCTCCAACTTTGCATTCAAAGCCCAGCAGTGACTTCTCCTCCTCTTGTGAATTTACTGAAGTGTATTCTGTGGTCCATTAAGTAGGTGGCTGCTCAGGGACACACCACTGACTTCTACAAAGCTTCATAAAAGGTGTCTGACTTAACTCACTGTGACAAATTATTTGGACCTGCAGTCCTCTAGGTATTATATTCTTCTAGTAGGAAAGGCTGAATCACAGCTTCTGTTAAAGATACAATGCACACACCGAATGGAAATTTCTCTTGATCACTGGCCCATAACAGAGTCCTGATTTGAGATAAAGGAGCTGCCCCAAACTGTGACTGCCAATCACCGCCCACCAGAACCAAAATTGTAAGCCAGGTTCTCTCTTCACACAAGTACCAGTGCTGCATGAGCCTTCTCAGATGTACAACTTCTGGTACTGTAGCTGATAGAATGCAGTTCACTAAGGATCCTTTGTGATTTTAAAATGTCAATCAGCCCTTATATTTTATGTTTAAAGGAGAATAATAATATTAATATCAATATCCAGTAATAGAGATAGTAGCATTAATGTACAAAATCGGGAGCCAGACCCAGCTTTGGAGATGTATGTGTTCCCTGGTCTGCTTGCACATAACCTTGAAAACACTCTTAGCACTTTGTGGAAGCATCCCTTTTTAGGATGATATTTTTTAAGTTTCAAAGAACCTGATCTTGCTGTCCTTCGACTAATGACACTTTAACCTTCTAGGTCTTGCTTGCGGCTTTCTAGCACATAGGAACTCTTGACGTTTCGTAAAAACCCCTCATCACTTTCAAAACAGTCCTGCTGGCCCCACCAAAGCGCTTCGATACATTTCGCACCGGTAAAGCGCAGCCCTTAAGGACAAGCCGTGACGGGAAGGCGCGACTGCTCGGAGGAGCAGCGCTTCCCGCATCCCCGGGGCTGTCAGCGACCGGGACGGTGCGGGGCGCAGGACGCGTGTCCCGGCGGGGAGGGCGCACCGCACCGCACCGCGGGGGCACGGCGTTCGGGGGCTGCGCGGGAGCGGGCGAGGGGCGCTGCCCGGCGCGGTGCGCGGCATGCAACGCACGGCTCACCTGCCGCGGAGACGTAGAAGAGGAGGCGGGGGCGGGCGGCGCGGATGGCCGCCGACAGCCCTCGCTCGCTGCCCGGGAGGGCGCCGCGGCGCTCGGGCATCAGCCGCACCCGCAGCCGCCCGTCGCCGGCGCGGAGCCACCAGGCGAAGAGCTCGGTGAGGTTGAACTCCAGGTGCGCCCCGCCGGAGCCCGGCGGCGGCTCGCCGGCGCAGCCGTCCCGCACGGTGCCCTCGCCCACCTCCAGCACCAGCTGCTTGGCGCGCCGCAGCCGCCGCCCGGCCGCGGAGGCCCGCGGGCGGCGCGGAGCAGGGGCGCGCAGTCCAGGCGCAGGCGGCACCGCGCCGCGGCGCGCCCCGGCGGCCCCAGCACCAGCTCCCGCACGTAGGTGCGAAACAGCGAGGGCACGACGAAGTCCATCGCCAGGCTCCTCCTCTGCAGCCGCGAGAGGCCGGGGGTGTCCCGCGGTCCCGCCGCCCCCGGGGCCAAGCTCAAGGCGAGGCAGGCGGCGGCCAGGAGGCGGGCGGGCAGCCTGTCCCCAGCCATGACCCGCGGGAGGCCGGCAGCGCCCCGTCCTGCGCCCGCGGAGCGGCGCCGGGGAGCGCGATGCCGGCGCGGTGCTCTGCGGAGGGAGCTCGGGGCCGCCGCCGGCCGCTCCGCCCGGGGCCGCCGCTGCGCGGGCTTTGCCGGCTCCAACTACCCGCCACAACGCAGGCATTACCCAGCGAGCGCTGACGTCACGCCCGAGCGCGCCCCCCAACAGCCAATGGCGTCCCCGGTAGCGCTCATTATGCAAATGAACGGGGGCGGGGCGGGCGGAGCGTTCATTGAAGAAAAAATTGGCCCGGCGGGCGCGGAGCCGGCATGGGGAGCGCGGTCCCGCGGGAGCGGGCCGGGACACGCGCGACCCCGGGAGCGGGGGCGGGCAGCGGGCGCTTGGTGCCCGCGGCGGGGGACCCGGCAAGAGCGCGGCTGGAGCTGCACCTCCACATGGCCCGGAGGGGCTGGAGGCGGGCACCGGGCGCCGAGCCCGGCTGCCACCCCCGTGTGGTGCGGGGCTCTGGGGTCCCGTTCCCCGCCTCTTCTCTCTGTGCAGGCAATGATGGACATACCTGTCCGCTTTGCTTTCCTTCCCTTTCTCTTTCTTTCCCTTTCCTTCCCTCTGTCCTCCCTCCCCATCCTTCCTTTTCCTCTCTTCCTTTCCTTTCTTCCCTTCCTTTCCTTCCTGGCTTCCTTCCTTACCTCCTTAAAGGCTGACGTCCATAAAACAACCCTGCATGTCTTTCCTCAGTAGAGAAAGGAAAAAAAAATTATAAGAAGCGACAAGTAGGGGGGAGAGAAATCTTAGAGTATAAGTCATTCTAAAAAACTAATCAAAATTCTTCCATTTCTGCATGAAAACAACAGCCTTAAGAAAGGTTCATGCAACAATTTCCCCTTTTTTACCCTTCATAAATACAATTTAATTACTGTAATTACATTAGTGCTGTGCCTTAGGATAGCTAATCATAACTCATTCATATTTCTGGAAGTTGCCTATATGAATTAATGACTTATTATTATCTCTTTAGTTTGATACTTAATGCATGTATATTTTTATAATCCAGGTACTTTAACTATATAATCATTAGAGTGCAATTATTCTGTCGTGCAGTTATTCTTGTGCTTATATCAAATTAATGTTAATATACAGATATTGTGGAGCAGAACCACAGTGTAATGCCTCCATAATTGTAGTGCCACAGAGTGTAATTGCAGGCGCAATGCTAGGAAAGGGAACCATGATCTTTTCTCTACAGAAGCGTTGAGGAAGGAACTTCAGGGCAATTGCTGAAGGATTAGTTAAATAATAGAGTTTATACAAAAAAAAGCCACGCCACTTCTGTGTTTAGGCTCATACAGGTGAGCTGATTCAAAGCTCATCCAAGAAGCTGGCATTTCTCTGGCTGCAAAAGCTTTGGACACACCCTTGCTTTCCCCCAGCTCTTCTTATTTCAGAGCCCACGCTCTTCTTATTTCACCTTGCTCAACATGTGAAGCCTAATCCCTTACTTTTCAGTTTTAATGACTTTGGGTCTCAGTCCCATCATGACCCACCAGTAGGGTGCCATCCCTGGCTCTGTCCCCCAGCCAAGCAGCAGAGGCATCACTGCTGCCCTTCTTCCACTCCTTGTCTTTTACCCAGAGGATACACAGTACCAGGAGTCTGGAGAGGCTGGCAGATGATGGTGATGATGGCTGCCCTGTGGCTGGGCTGGGATGCCAGGGATGTGTCGCTATTGAAGTGAACTGGTGTGGGAGGGATGAAGGGTCTGTGGTGCCTTTTAGCAAGCAGAGGGATTTGAGAGGCACCAGGAATTCCAGCATGTCCTTGACAGTGGCACTGGGAGGAAGGCTGTTGTGCAGAGCAGAGAGCCCAGGAGGGCAGAGGGTCCTTGCTCTGCCATGCTCAGGCTGCTGGGGCTGGGTGGCAGCTCCCCAGTGCCCCTTCTGTTGCGGGGCTGCTCTGTGAGCAGATCCTGGTTCTTGCAGGCTGATCCCAAGCAAGAGCCTCCAATGGCCCTGTCTGGCAATGGAGGACAACTTTGCTGCTCACCAGGTGAGTTTTGGAAGGAAAGGTAAGATTGTGCTCTGGCTGAGCTGTCACTTGTCCCGTGAGTGTCACCATGCAGGTGTGGGACCCCAGGGGAGGACATCACCTGGACGAGCAAAGACACCTGGTTTGTGGTAGTCACTGGGTACAGTTCTGGGGGGACAGAGAGCCTCCACAGATGCCCAAGGCTTGGAGGAGGGCAGGGCAAGGGCTGGGACAGGCTGTACCAGTGACACATCAGCTTTCAGGAGTCTCTGAGCCAAAGCCACAACTCCAGCTGCCAGCTCCCTGCTTGTTCTGTCACATGGCTCAGCACAGCGATGTCCACTGATGGCCTTTTGGGATCTGTGGAGGTCCTCTGTCCAACTCCCCTCCTTGAGCAGGCTCACACAGAGCAAGCTGCCCAGGACAGTTCATCCACTGGTAGGAGTCCAAAAAGGGATTTCTTTCAAAGCAGGACATTTATCTTCCTCCATCCTTCATATTTACCAATGAGCTGAAGTTGAGTGGTTGCTTTAGTGCCACATCAGTGCAGTAATGGAATGTACTCCAGTGCAGCTGGAGTGTAAAAGAGCCAAAGAAGACTTTTGCAAAGGTCTCTGAGTTCCTGCATTTTTTGTGAAAAGGGCAGATTTTTAACTATCACTTCTCCTTTAGGCATGGCATTGCCTAGAATCTACAAATAAAGCAGTCACTTAAAATCGAAAGCTGTACTTTCTCTTGGACCTAACTTAATTCCTGCATCTTGGGGATTGAAAGCTGGCACAACAGGCCTGCCAGAGACATTCCCACGGCTTGGCTGGTGTGCACCAAGGAGAATCTGTCTTCAGCCACCATGGTCATGTCCAGGGGAAACAGCTTGTGTTTCTGACCAGGCCCTTGAAGGGAGAAAAGAGCAGCAATGCAGACACAGCATTTTCCCCCAGCCCAGGGCAGCAGCTGCTCAAGCCAGCCCACTGTGAATGTCTGTGCTGCTGGGCCTGCAGGGGTTGTCAGGGCACACAGGATTCAACCTGAATTACCTCCATGCAACGCAGTGTCAGGACCCTCAGTGTGCAAGGACCCAGGAGCTGGTCAGGGAAATCTGACCCAGGACATGGAAAGCTTTCAGCAACTGCACCTGTCCTGGAACAGACTGTTCCAGGAGAAATGTGCATCCATTTCTCATAAAAACTGTTCTCCTAGAAAAAGAGGGTTTCTCCTGAAAAAGACTTTTCCAGGGGAAGAGGCACCAGGGAAGGTTTGAGAGGGAGGAGAACTTCACATAGCACAGGGAACCAGATGTACAACAAGTTTTTTTCTTGTTTGTTTGTTTGTTTGTTTGTTTGTTTGTTTGTTTTGGTGGTGGTGTTGTTTAATTAAAGAAGATGATGCAGGGAGAGCCATGATATTTGTTATAAATTCTCACCAGGCTGAACAAAGACACCAGGCCATGGGTCAGGGAACTCTAATAGTTCATTCAACTCCAGCAGCCAGCTCACTACTGAGACTCAAAAGGTGTTGACTAACGAGCCCTTAAATTTGTACAATAAGCTTCCACATGTGGTGGCTAACAAGCTTTTAATTTTGTACTGTACACTGCCATGAACTTTCAAGACCTCAAAAGAAACTTCTCAAAGGTGCTGGCTCACAGGTCACAAAACACTTACACAAGCTCCCCATTCCCACAAAAAACATTATGGAGCATGGAATAGCCATGCTTTGCCCAAGAAAAGCAAGGGAGAAGATAAATAAAGGCAGAGAAGAGAAAACAGAGAATGTCACCAGTTCATGCAGATGGTCCAGAGCTGGGGCAAACAGTGGGGAAAAAAGAGAGTGAGAGGCTCTGACCCACTTCCTTTCATAGTTAACCTGGTGCAGGCCTCTTATCTAAACCACATTTTTCTCACCCTTTTGTTCACACATGCACAGGCAGCCCTTGGAACCATCCTCCAGGGAGTGAGTCCAGGTTGAAAGTCTCCAGGCAGAGCAGGAAGCTGGCTCGGTTCAGTACTGCCCCACCTCCCCAGGACCCTCTCTTCTAATCACAGCTTTCCTGCCACAACAGTCACAATGTTGTATTATGCTTGGTGCATCACTAGTCCACAACGGCAAACAAACTGAAGTGCATAAGTGCTGTAACATAGAATCCAGTGCAGAAGGATTTCAAATCGATCTGTATGCTTCTATTGCTTTGAGCTCAGATTACTTACTCGAAATAAATGCTAAGTAGACTGAATTAATCCTGTGCTCCTGTCTTTTCATTCCACCTCTTCTTCTCTAGTGGATAGCCTTATAAACCTGCACAAATGTGCAAAATATCCCTGGACTGGGAACTACATCCTCAAACCTGCCCTCTTCACCATGTTCTTTTGGACTGTCATACTCTGCCACAGTTTCATGTGCTACTGAAAATGTCTGTTATTGCAGATTATTGTATGCTGGCCACAGGAAATGTTCTAAAAATCTCAATGATCAGTTTCTTATGGGGTTTTTTTCCTGCTTGCACAGATCAATCAGATTTCCATCAAATGAATCTGCTGCTGTGGGACTTCTACAGGTTTCAGTTCTCAGTATTTTCCCCTGGGATTCAATCAATTTGAGTCTAATGCTTAGGCTCATTTCAGTGATTAGTAAGTCTCCTATTGAGTGTAACTGGGTAGACCCTGGGCACAGTTCAGATTTTCAACTAATGTACAGAATAATTTGTTACAGATAATGTTGCAGAACAATTTAATTGATTCCTTTATGCTCACCATCTTGCTGAGATAGACCATATCTTCTCAAATTTACTCTTTATTTTGGAATTTATATGGGCACCTTATTGACCTCTATCTTATCTCCTATCTTAACTAGGAAGTTAAAGCTGGCCCCAGTGATAAGTCAGGCTGGCATGAGTGGAGCCTTTGCTCTCTGATCTTTTCTGAGAATTAGATTAAAAAAATGTATTGTGGCACACCGCAGCCTTCTTCCA